ACAGGTTTTTAGAGACGACATTTAAAATATGGAGTTTCCTGGTTTTAACAAGGAAACAAAGAATCAGAATTATGGTTTGGAAGCTCACTGGAGGTATGAAATAATACTCAGAGCCCACAGAGTCACAGACATATTTTTAATTCTATGAGGATTTGAATAACTCTAAAAACACTACCAGGATGGGGAGATTCCAAGATGGTGATGGGCTAAGTGGAAGCTACAGTGACATTCTTCCAGGACCAAACTGGAATTACAACTAAAATATAGAAAAGCCATCCTGAATAATCAATTGAAGACTAGCTGGAGAGAATCCTTATAACCAAGGATGTAAAGTGGAGACCACACAGAGACTGGTAGGAAGTGTGGAGGTACAAGAGCGCTGGCCAGGCTCCCACAGGCAACAGCTGAAGTTTCAGAGGGATATCTCAGCTGTGGGGGGTTCCCACTGAGAACTCTGGGGTCTAAACCCCAAGCTGGGCTCCACAGCCCAGAGCTCCAGAGCTGAGAAAGGTGCCCACATAACATCTGGCAGTGAAAAGCAGCAGGGTTTCTGTCTGCCAGGGAGAGACAGCTGGAAATGCAGGCACCTTTTTAAAGGGCCAATGCACAAAGTTTTGTGTGCAGCCACTCACCTTGGGTTCCAGGAGAGGGAGGGTAGAGTGGACTAGAGCTGTGTGAGGGGAATCCAGGGTTTCAGGTGCTAAAAATAGAGCTAGGAGGGCACCCATCTGGATTCCTGAGCTGAGTCATTCCCCTATACCGCGAAAGACATCTTTCTCAGGCAAACCTTTACCATTCAGGCAGCTTTTGTCTGGGGGATAAGCAATTGTCCCACCCATTAGAAAACCTTTTGCCCTACCCTGTGGAGTTTATGCCTTGCTATGGTCTGCAGCCTGGGGCTCTTTAAGAAACTCTGAGTAACAATCAGCCTGTAGGCAGCAGTGGATCTCTGGGTGCTTTGAGTCTTTGCCTATCTGCTTCTGGACGCTGGGCTTGAAAAAACAGGCCTTGGTGCACACGTTGGCCCTTTCCAAATGCACCCAGCTCCAGCAGAGGGAGGCACAAGCTGTGGAGTGCAGAAAGCTTCAAACAGGGTTCTCAAGGCCAATCATAAACAGCATCTGACAGTGGCCAGCACCAGAGTCCATCCAAAAGACTGGGAGTCCTGGCAGTTCTACCTAATGCAAACCCAAACAGACAGCCAAAATGGAGAGACAAAAAAACAAACAAAAAAACAAGCCCCAAATGAAAGAACAAGAGAATTTTCCAGAAGACGAGCTAAATGAAATGTAGATAAGCAAACTATCAGATGTACAGTTCAGAATACTGATCATAATGATGCTCAACAGCAAGAGAAAAGATATGGAAACTGAAAGAAATTAAAAATGAAATCGCAGAAATAAAAAATACATTGGAAGGAATAAACAACAGATTAGGGGAAGCTAAGGATCCAATCAGCGAATTAGAAGAGAGGGTAGAAAAAAATCACTCAATCAGAAAACCAAAAAGAAAAACAATTAAAAAACAGAATGACAGTTTAAGGGAGCTGTTGGACAACATGAAATGTAACAATATTCACATCATAGGAGTGCCAGAAGAGGTCAAAAGTAAGCAAGGGTTAGAGAACCTGTTTGAAGAAATAATGGCAGGAAACTTCCCTAACCTGGTGAAGGAAAAAGTCACACAAGTTCTGGAGGCATAGAAAGTCCCAAGCAAGAAGAATCCAAAGTGGCCCATGCCCAGACACATTATAATTAAAATGCCAAAAATTCAAGACAAGAGAAAAGCAAATTTGTTTCTTACCATAAGGCTGTCAGCTGATTTCTCATCAGAAACTCTACAGGCCAGAAGGGAATGGCATGAAGTATTCTAGGTCATGAAAAACAAGGATCTGAAACCAAGACTACTCTAACCAGCAAGGCTATCATTCAAAATAGATGATGAAATAAAGAGCTTCCCAGAGAGAAAAGGCTAAAGAGTTTATCACCACCAAACCAGCATTGCAAGAAATGTTAAAGGGATTGCTATAATTAGAAGTAGAACTAGAGAGAGAACCATAGGCATAAAGAATTAAAATGGTGCCCAGCCAGTGTGGCTCAGCAGTTGAACACCAACCTATGATCCAGGAGATCACAGTTCGATTCCTGGTCAGAGCACAGGCCCAGGCTGCAGGCTTGATCCCCAGCAGGGGCCATGCAGGAGGCAGCCGATCAATGACTCTCCCTCATCATTGATGTCTCTATCTCTCCCTCCTTCCCCCTTCCTCTCCCTGAAATCAATAAAAAAAATTTTTTTTAAAAAGAATTAAAATAGCAACAGATAAGTACCTATCAATAATAACCTTAAATGTAAATGGATTAAATGCTCCAATAAAAAGACATAGGGTAGCTGAATGGATAAGAAAACATGACCCACATATATGCTGTCTGCAAGAGACCCACTTCAGAACAAAAGACACATGCAGACTGAGAGTGAAGGGATGGAAAAAAATTTTCCATGCAAGTGGAAATGAAAAAAAAGCTGGGGTAGCAATACTTACATCTGACAAAATAGACTTCAAAATGAAGGCCTTAACAAGATACAGTAAAGGTCACTACATAATACTAAAGGGATCAATCCAATAAGAGAATATAACCCTGGTAAACATATATGCACCCAATATAGGAGCACCTAAATTTATAAAAAACTTCTGTAGGACTTTAAGGGAGAGATTGACAGCAATACAGTCATAGTAGGGGACTTTAACACCCCACTGACTTCAGTGGATAGATCTTCCAGACAAAAAAGTCAACAAGGAAACAGTGACTCTAGATTACACACTAGATCAGATGGATTTAATTGACATTTACAGAACATTTTACACCAAAGCTGCAAAATAGACATTCTCCTCAAGTGCACACGGGACATTCTCAAAAACAGACCACATGTTAGGACACAAAACAAGTCTCTACAAGTTCAAGAAGACTGAAATCATATCAAGCATCTTCTCGGACATTTACACCATGGAATACTATGCAGCTATAAACACGAAGGATCCCTTACCCTTTGAGACAGCATGGTGGGACCTGGAGAGTATTATGCTAAGTGAAATAAGCCGGTCAGAGAAAGACAAATGTCACATGATCTTACTCATATGTGGAATCTAATGAACATAATAAACTGATGAACAAAATAGATACAGAGACATCAAAGCATAGAACAGACAGGGATCTCAGAGGGAAGATGGGGGTGGGGGGGTTGGAGGGAGAGATTAACCCAAGAACTTATATGCTTATATGCATAACCCATGGACACAGACAATAGTGTGGTGAAGGCCTAGAGGGGAGAGGGGGAGAGGGAGGAGGGGATCAATGGGGGAAAAACGGGGACATCTGTAATAGTTTCAACAATAAAGATAAATTAAAACATTAAAAACAAAACAAAACAAAAAAAACAGTACCGGGACAATACAATATGTCTTCTGCAAAAAAAATTCACAACTGACTTTTTCCTAGATTCAAAGTCTTAGGGTACTGTGTGTCAAACTGTTTTCCTTGAGAATTCCTTTTCTTTAGGTGGGGTCTACATACTAATCAAGTTTGGAAGATGCTGTTCTAGGAGTTAAATGGAAAATGACTTGGAGGAGGGTACAAGTAGCTAACACCAAAATTTGGAAGTTATTGTGGGGGTACAGAAATTATGGTGATTTAGCCCAGGGTAATGGCGCAGAGGCAGAGAGAAGCAGGCTGGCTCCAGAAGGTAGAACGCTTAACACTGGTGACTGATCAGACCAGTGATCGAGGGAGTCGGGCTTCAGGCTTGAGGATCAGACTGCAGGCAGATACAACTGAGTTGATGGTAATTGAAACAATATGAGTTGAGAGCTATGCACTGACTGTGACGTACCAGTACTATTCTAAGCACCCTTACAGTAATTCGTAAAATTCTCGCAAAGCCTTAGGAGAGAACTATTATTACTTCCATTTTACTGATAAGGAAACAAACTCACAAAGGGTAAGGGGCTTATGTAAGGCTGGTCCTGGGTCTGTAGCCAGGACCATGGTCAGTCAACCTGCCTTCTCAGGATACAACAGCGGAAATGACAGGCCAGGAAGGAAAATTAGAGTTAGCTGCGTCCGTGCTTTAGCTCGTGTGAATGCAAGTCTGTCTGCGTTCGTGGGCCTTCTCAATGCTGCCCTCCTCAGCAGCCCCACGGGGGTTCTGCAGCCTCCGACCTGGAACCCGAAGTTCCCACACAGGAACTTTGGCCCATGGATGACTGCATCAGTTATTGTTTCTGTGGGGGGATGCAAGCAAGGGGCCTCCTATTCCACCGTCTTGCTGACCCAGAGCAAACATTTTAAAGCTAAGCTAACGGTATTCGCTAGTAGTTCTTGGAAGAGTGATGGATATTTCTCACATGAGGCATGTAGCATCTTGCCTGGCACAGCAAAACATCCACATTTGATGTGCATCTCCGTGGCTATCCTCCTGGCCTGGAAATTCTCAAGGCATCTGTCTTAGGAGAAAATCATAGGTCAAAAGCCACTATGCTTCCCATGTGCCGGGCTGCCCTATCCGGCTGCTCTTATGTCAGACTCAGAACTTCTGCTTCCATTTTTGTGTGTGGTAAGCCCTTGCCCCATCAAATCTGATGTCTCAGGAAACATTAAAAAACATAAGAGAAGCGGAATGGAAAAGGGAAATATTACTGAAAATAGTCATTCGCCTCGTTTATTCTCATTGGGCTGAAGGCACATAAGAAATGTGAGCCTTGAAGTTTGGGGATTAGAAACAAAGACAAATTATTTCCTCGTTCGCCCTGACCATACCTTTCAAGTCTTCTTCCTGGTTTGCGATATAAGTTGGAAAAATACACTTCACCACACCTACCTGAATTGCTCAATATTTGCTTAAGTGCAAGAAGCTGCGGGCAAGCCAAGGGAGGAGCTCTGGTTATAAACAGAGCACCTGATAAATAGGCCGCCAAGGCCTCCCCGCTCCAACACACCGCCGCAGAGATGGGCCGGCCGCAGCAGCTCCCCCTGGCGGGGCTCCTGCTGCTTTCTCTCCTTCCAAGCCAACTATGCACCATCTGCAGTGAGTATCCCTTTATCCAAACCTGCTCTACTGCGACAGTCTCCTGATGGCTACCGAGAGAAAACTTTGTAGAGAGTTACCTGAGAAGAGCCCTGCTTCAGCTCTATATGTGGCCGGACTCTGTGAGTCACGCGCAGGGTGGCCACGATGGTAAGGAAAGTTCCACAACGTGTATGTTACCACACGAGAGACCATAGATGCGATGTTAACTTGCCTACCTGTTCTTTCTATGCCCAGGTCCTCTCTTCCACAGTGACACGACCACGTAACTGTCTGTTTCTGTTCATTTTCAATGGTAGAAAATTCGTGACCCCAGAAATTCTTCAAGATCATAAAAAGTTATCTTTTGATTTTGAAATACAATCTATTTTTCTGAAGCTCAATCCATAGGTTTTGGGTTAACCCTTTGTGACTACTCAGAAAAGAATAATGGTAATAATCTCTTTCAAATAATGAAGACTGTTCTCTTGTCATTGTTGAGTTCAGCTGCTCCAAGGTACACACACTCCTCCCTTCAACTTTCTCCTATAGGACATGAGTACAAGCCCCATCATCTCTCCTTTGGGTGTAGCCTCCAGTGATTATGTGGCTCTATTAAAAAATAGTAAATAGGAGAAAGAAAAACTGGGTTCAGGTCTAGTCTGACCTCTTAGTAGCTGAATGATCACAATGTTTCTGATTTTTTTTAGCTTCATTCATAAATGGAGGGTAATCAGGGAAGGGTGTTGAAACAGGTGATTTCTTGAAGTCTGGTGTAGCTCTCAGATACATGATTTATGCATGTATGTCTTTAACCCAGGAATTGAGCTTCAAATCAGTCCAAAGATGATCTATGGTGCCATCTGTGGCTATGTCTTCTTGTAGCCTACAAGAAGAGATCAACGCCACAACAGAAAGACTTGTATTCATACAAGCTAAAGCACAGACTAGGCCAACGCTAATTTTATTTCCTGCCTGTCATTTTCTTTGTCGTATCCTAAGAATATAAGGGCCCTGTGGAGGCTTCGAAGTTCAATTGATTATACAAAATAATTAACTCTGTCTTTAGTGGTCAAGGAAGCTGACTGGAGTTGTTGACCAGGAACTAAAAAGTCTGTTTCAGAGCAAGAAAATCTTCTGAACTGGATGCTTCCACACAATGTCAGAGATGACTCACATATGTCCAATTGTACCTGTGGTAAACCATGAGCTTTCTACAATCACTAAATTCAGATCTTCCTGATCTCTATTGTAAAATGAAGAAAGGTGGGCAAGGGAAAGCACATATCCTGGGTTCTCTACGTATAGGGATAGAAGCTCCAGCTAAGCTAAAAGTAATAATTTGTACAGTATTTTACAATTTGTTAAGTGATTTCTTGTCCAATGTCTACAAAGTAGGTGTTAATATCCATAATTTTAAAATGAAGAAACTGAAGGTCAGGAAAGTTACATATCTTACCCACAGTCATAAGTACCACAGATTCCAGACACAGTCTCACTATCCCACTAACCCGGGATAACCTGGAGATGGGTAGGATTTTCTTGGGATTATAAACAAAGCATATTTAGAAATGGTCTAAGTGGTAACTAACTCTTCTTGTCCTCCAGTTCTTCAGGGACTCTGGGTTCTCTTTTTCCTTCCACAGTATAATGTGACTCCCTCCATCCTTTCACCTGGGTTTTGGGCAGGTTGTTGGCTAAAACTGGACGGTTTTCCAAAGTGTGCACACTGCTAAATAATGATCTTGATGCCTGGCCTGTGGGGCAAGACAACTCAGCTTTAGGGTAAATCACCAATATAACATAGAATGTTTGCCTTCTCTCCCTCAGTAATAACCAAATTGAGTTAGAAGAAGATGGAAAAGAACAGAATCCAGAAATTAGAAATGGCTATAGATTGGGAGTCAAAAGATGTGTATTCTAGTCTCCATTAAGCCTCTGATTACCTAGTTTTCTTTAAGGAAACCCTCTCTAGGCCTCATATTCAAAATTAGGGAATGACACTAGATCTCCAAGGCAGGGTTGATATTCTGTCAGTGCCCATTGGTAAGGTTGAACAAGTGGTTAAAATATTGAAATACTTCCATGCTGGTTGGTAAAGGAGTAACACCTGGCACAGCAGGGGCTCCAGACCCATCTTTTATTGTCCCAGCAACATAGTCAATGACCACTAGCTTGGTCTTTGTGCCATATCTGTCACTAAATATTTTAATATCACCATTGTTCCTAGCTTTAATATTTTCTACGTGTTTTTTATTTCCTCCCTCCCCTGCCACAGAGGTAAGCAAAGAAAACTACTCCCTTTTAAACCCTCTAATAAGCACAATGGTCAATTCAAAATATGCCGGAGGAATCCAAGCTGCCAATGTCCTGCTGTCACTCAAACTTGCTGGGGTCGACCACCAAAGCTTAGAAAAACAGCTGATCCAAGAAGCCAAATACATTGAGGAAAAGAAGGGTGAGTACCTATATTCTCTGGAAGGTTTAGGGTAAGAGTTACCTATCTGTACAGATCATCTCCAGGGAGTCCTAAAAATCGTGTGACCAAAGTATCCCTGCTGCGTCTATCCTCGCTGTATAAAACTAGGTCAGAAAGGTGCCTCAAAACATCAATCCCCCTGCCACTTACTCTAAGGCCACTTACTTCTTTGGGTCCTGAAAACCGTTTTTCTTCAAGAGGTCAAAGGAAAAGCAAAAGAAATTATAGAGTCTTAGCCATTAATTCTGTTCTATAAGCTAGCTGAGTTCCCAACCAGATGGGGATGTGGACCACAACTAAGAAAGCTGACAACAGAGAGGCAACCACAGAACAACAGACACGTGGCCTGGGTTTGAGTCCAGGCTCCACCTTGTGCCTTTCATGTCAATATGGAGCTCAGCTTTCTATTTAATATAAGGGGGAAATGAAGCTACCCCAGCTACCTCTTATTGTAAGAACTATGATAAGCCCAAGAGTTTTGGGGTTTTTTTGGTTTTGTTCTCTCACTTTTAAGGCTTTTATTATAAAACAGATGATCAATGCAAATGGCTAGGAAAATTTTTACTTATGTTTAAATTATTTTTTTGGGGGGGTATCTTAAAAATAGATTTTTAATTTTATTTATTGGGGTCACACTGGTTAATGAAATTATGTAAGTTTCAAGAGCACAATTCTATAACACATCATCTGTACATTGTACGGTGTTCACCATCCAAAGTCTAGCCGCCTTCCATCACCATTTCTACCTGCCCCATCCCCTCTCCCTCTGGTAATCACCGCACTGTTGTCTGCATCTGTGAGGTTTTTTTGTTTTTGGTTTTTGGTTTTTGCTTAATTCCTTCACCTATTTCACCCAGCCTCCCAGCCCTTCTGCCCTCTGACAGTTGTCAGTCTTTGCTCTGTAGGAAAAAATTTTTAATGTCTTAACAAAAGATTGTGTTAAAATATTAGCCTAGCCCGGCCGGGCGTGGCTCAGCAGTTGAGCGTCGACCCAGGATCCAGGCGATCGGGGTTCGATTCCCGGCCAGGGCACAGGCCCGGGCTGCGGGCTCCATCCCCAGTCGGGGGCATGCAGGAGGCAGCCGATCAATAACGGCCCTCTTGTCATTAGTGTTTCAACTCTCTCCCTCTCCCTTCCTGTCTCTGAAATCAATAAAGATGTATTTTTAAAAAAATAAAAATAAAATTGAATACTTTTCTTTTCAGAGTCAAATTTAACCTCGGGACAGCTTGCCTTGGCCATACTGGCTTTGAGAGCATGTCAGAACCCTAATGAAAGTGATAAGCATCTTCAGCTGGTCAGCCAACTAGAAGAGAAATTCCGAGAAGAAATTGAACATATGGGTGAGAGTCAAGTGTTCAGAGACCCTGGACAACTTTGCCTTCATCTCCCCCTGTTCGAAACTGTGCGGAGTTTCCTTCCGCTCTTCCTGCTCTTCATTCTGTTCATCCCACTCTACCTTTGCAGGTCACCTTTCCCTTTTTCCCTCTTTCTACGTGCATCTTGAATTGTCTGTTCAAATATGTTCAACCGAGCACTGACCCTACATCCAGCAATACTTACGTATGACGGTGAACACACACACACACACACACACAACACAGTTCTCCGGTCCTCTACAAACTTGACTTTTAGACAAATAATGAATCCCACCAAAACTAGCTGGAGCAAGAGGAGGCATTGTCACACGCTGCTGGGGGGGTAAAGACAGCCAAAAGTGCTTCATCGCTGAGAACAGGTCGACCGTGATGGCTGCCAGTGAGGTGCACTGTTGTTATTTCAACTCCTACCCTATATCCATCCTATTATTCATTAAGTCCCTCCAATCCCATCCTTCTTTGAGATGGCCTCAACTTCTACTTATAGCTTCAACACATTACTGTTGAAAGTGCTAGAGGCTTGGTGGTGAAAAACCCACATCCTAGTCCCAGCTCTGTAACCACCTGAATATCAGGACAGTATTTTAGTCTCTTCAGCACTGAGTCGCCTCGGTGATAAAATGCAAGAATTTTAATTTGGTGGCCCTTGAGGGCCTTTAAGTTTCTCAAATTTGCTGATTCTATAAGCGATTCTCCTTTTTATTACTCGACTCTCCTTAAGTGTAAAGAAATGGGAAGAAAGGAAGCAGGAATAGACTGAAAAATGTATGACTCCAGGTCCACTTCCATGGGTAAGGTATTTCTTTTCTCTCTGCCAGGAGTACCTGGTGGCAATCCGAAGACTAACTACTACCAGCTCAGCCTGGCCGTGCTGGCCTTGTGTCTGTTCAATGGGAGCTACTCAATCACCGAACTTAATACATACTTCACTCCTGAAAATAAAAACTTTTATTTTGGTGGTCGGTTCTCAGTAGGTGAGTCATCAAGCCCAATTCCCTTGATAGAGAGGACACGTTTATCAGTAGGTCTTGCCATTAGAGTTTTTCTACCAGTAAGTACTTAGGTTCTTTCCTATCCCATCTACCCTAGACTCCTCAGAAGGGCACTTTCTTTTTGAGAAGAATGGAAATTTTGGAGCAGTTAAGTCTCTTTCTGGATGTGTAGTTTAGTAGAAAAACCTGGACCCTATCCCAGCTCTTCTTTGAGTTATAGAGCCTGTGGATACTAACGCTTAACGTTAATTTTCCCATCTATAAACTGAGGATAGAACATGAGAATCCTCATATAAGGCACTGTAGGAAGTGTAAGTGTTAGAGAAAGGCGCAGTGGAATTCATTTCTCTTAACCCATGCCTCTTTTTCAAATTTACTGAAACTATTTGGATGTGTGAGTTTACTTGAACAATGCAACCTCTCCAGGTGACAAGGCCCAATATTTTGATCAATACAGTGTATATTCACAATGGGGAAGGACTGTAAATTTTCCACTGGGTCAGCTTACCTATCCAAAAAAAAGTCCCCTCTAGACAGCTAGTGTTGGCGCTCAGCCCCTACAGATCCAGATACACAAGCTCGTCTTCCTCAAAGGAGCTCAAAGAAAATCATTCAGTACCTCTGGATAGTAGGCAGAATGTGAGATTTCGCATACTCCTCTTATGAAAGAGGGAAGCTACCACCCAGGGGGAACAAAGTAGCAGGCCAGGGAAACACCTCACCCTCCCTCCTTCCAGTCTCTCGCCTCATCCTTCACCTTAAGTTTACTGGGAAACCAGTCTCTTAAGTGCTATTTTCTAATCAGTCTAATGGAAACCTTAGAACATTACAAAGACATATTTTGTTCAGCGTATCATCCTTCGTTTTCTCAATTCTTTTGCCAATATGGCTGAAAGATGAAAAAAATGAAGACAAGGAACCAAGATGTAAAAGTAGAAGACTGTTCATGTGCATGCGCCTACAAATTCTGAGTTACTGAGAACAAGGTACATGGCTACTCAACATAAGGAATCGTCAAATATTTGAGTGATTAGTGCTGAAGGGATGATTGCTATATCTTGAAACCCTTCTTTCCCACCATCAACTTGCATGACCAACCATCCCAGTTCGCCCAGACATGTTCCTCTTTTAGCACTGAAAGCCCCACAAACCAGGAAACCCACCAGTCCAGGGCAAACTGGCATGGTCGGCCACCGTCTCACCAAGGTTTGGCTTCCTGACAGATACCGGTGCAATGGCTGTCCTGGCTCTGTCCTGTGTGGAGAAGAGCGTCAGGCAGACCGACACAAACGGAGAGGACTTACAGAATATCAAGAATTATACAGAGTCACTGGCAAAAAAGATTCTGTCTGAGAAGAAAGAAAATGGTCTCCTTGGAAATGCATTTAGTACAGGACAAGCTATGCAGGTAAGTCAGAGGCTAAAACGGGAGACAGAGGAGGAGTCACGGAGGAAAGCACCATCTTCATCTTTCCTTACTGGCCTTCTAAGATATTATCCATTCTGTTTCCCACACCACCTTTGATTTTACTCATGATTCCCCTCCCTGCCTGAAATGCGTTCTTACCTTCAATCTTCATATTTCCATATCCAATGCTTCTACGAAGCTTTTCCTGACTATAATTTCTTGAAGAAATTCTAGAGTCTACCACAACTACAGCCTATCTTGTTCTATCACACGCAGTTTCACACTTTACCATATACCCTTGTTTTGAGTTTTTCTTACCTCCCAAATTAGATTACTGTTGTCGAAGTGGCCGTGGCAGGAGCAGCTGCTGGTGTTTACTGACATTAACTCCCTGACGCACACAGCAACCCAGTGAGGAAAGAATCATTACCTTCCTTCCCTAGAGTAGGAGCCTGAGTCATGGAGAATCAGTCACTTGCCTGGTATTTCAAAGCGAGAAAGTGATGCAGAAGGGAATGAAACCGAAGCAGCTGGGTTCAGAACTCACACTGAGTGCCTCCACTGTCCTGTGCACGTCCCTTGAAGTCTGGGACTTTATTCCTGCACTGGTTTACTCGGCTTTAAGAAGAGATCAAGGAAGGCTTACGGGGCGGGGGGAGGGGAATTCACTGAGTCTTTAGGATGAATAGGAGTTTGCCATGCTGACTCAGGGTGACAGACCCTTCAAAGGGAGGAGGATAGCAGGACAAAGACGAAAGGCACCAAAGGACATTACACGTTTTAGGAAGACCAAGGTGTTCAGCATGGTCAGCGCAGGGTCCTCGGGAAAAATCACAACATGAGGCTGGTTGTGGGCCGGGGTCCGATCTCAAGGTTGTTTGTGCTGTTGTTACCACCCATGTTGTCTGCCTTGCCAAGTCTGAATTTAATATGAAACAGTGGCTTCCCATTCAGGCTGCATCTTTTGAATCACCTGGAGGAGCTTTTAGGAAACTAAAAGCTCTCTGCCCCGCACCGGTCACTTAATACAGGAATTCAGGGTGGAGCCTGGGCCTTGGTGTTGTGTGAAGCCCTACAGGTGATATTAACCCGGGAGGATCAAGAGCTTTCTGCCTGTGAGACAGTTTTTAAGGGAGATGTAATATGATCGGGTTTGTTTCTCTTAATATCCCACAAATGCTTGTTGACTGCTTGTTAACCTTTAGAGCCTTTGAGGAGAGATGAAAAGTGGGGCCTGCTCGTTCCTCGGAAACCGCAGAGCATCATCTTCAAGTCCAACCCGCCTTACTCCCTGTCTTTCTCACTCCAATAACCTCCTAGCTTTTCCTACCCCGTAATTCTGCTCCTTCAGCCCGGTTTACATCTGCTTCCCAGACAGAAACTATGAGAATTCCTACTGTCGAGCAAATAACGTTCAAGAAACTTCTGTTCAAGAAACTATGAGAATTCCTACTGTCGAGCAAATAACGTTCGACACCTCACCCTAAAATTCAAGGGTCTACCAATCTGTCCCCAACCTACTCGTCCAGACCCTTCTTCCACAATGTCCCTGAGTGATCCCTACACACCAGTCCTCCCAGACCGGGAGACATCCCCTGGGCATTTTGCTAAAATGCAGATTCTCTCCTCACCGCCAGGCCATGCCCTGGCCCCTGCTACTCTAGCACCTTCCATATCACACTGTTCCCTCTGGCTACAGGGCTCCCTTCCTTCATGTCACCTACTGAAATGCCATCATATCACCAGGCCCGCCTCACGTGCCACCTTCTCCGCCAAGCCTTTCCTCAGCCCGGCTAAATGCTGAGAGCGCTTCCTCTTTCCAAACACTGTGCCACTAAATGCTTCCCTGAGAGCATTCACCCCAGTCACTCCTTCCCGACAGTTTGTTCACCATACTTAGTGAGTGCCTCCTGTATGACAGGTGTTGTTCCAGTGCTGGGGGTACAAGGGTGAATGTGGGAGCGAGTCTGTTCTCATTGGTGCTATTATAGTTTGTATTGTTAAGCAATTCCCCACCTCCCCACCCAAGAGTTTATAAGCTTCTTGAAGGCAGGAAATGCATCTTAGCTGTCTAAGGCACCTCCTACGTAGTCAATGTCAAATGAATATTTACTGTATTAGTTGTAAGCTTTCCACTATTTAAAGCCATTCTCTCTCTCTCTCATTAGGCTCTCTTTGTCTCATCAGCGTATTACAAAGAAAAGGAATGGAACTGTCAACAAACTCTGGATACAGTGCTCGAGGAAATTTCTCAGGGAACATTCCATTTACCAATTGCTGCAGCCCAGGTCTTACCTGCCCTGATGGGAAAGACCTACTTGGATGTTAACAATTACTCTTCTTGTGCCAATAATTCAGGTAGAGCACTAAACAACAAACTGTTTTTGCCTCTCAGCGTAACAGCCAAAGTGCGTGAGATTTAGGTGTCCTTAGGGACCAAGAGTGACCAAATAAATCTCTAAAGCATCACAGTTCCCATCCAGACCTCAGTCCTTCATGCATCATCAGAGATTATTCCCACCTGAGGATCTGTTGTTCTTCGCAAGGTAGCAGGTGTCGTTCTTAGGTTAAACACTGATAAACAAGGTAGACTTGATTAAATGATGTCTGTCTCCAAAGGGACTTTTCTGAGTGTTGGATGCAGAGAGGTGTTCTGAGCATCACTCCCACCCTAAACAAAGCATGGCATCTCTCACCTTCCGTTACGCACAGTAAGCGACCCCTCGGGGACATGAGACATCTGTGTGGAAGGAACATGGCAGGACTGTAGGAAACTGCAGCATGGATCACGGACCCGAACAACTGATTTTGCAACAAGATAGTCTTATTCCCCTGTCTCAACAGCCACTGGCATGTGCAGGGGACTTAAGACAAAACGCTTAGCCTCGAAGCTTCAATTTTCTCATGTAAGACATGCAAATGATAACAGTATCTAATGTTGGTTTTGTAAGGACTGAAAGAGACAGTGCACGTAAAATGACTAGTACAGTGCCTGGTGCACGGTTTTTTCAAGAAATGTTAAGAAATAAGGCATAAAAGAGGAAGCATTATTGTATGCTGTGCCAAACGAAGGGGATCGGGAGCCTCCGTGAGAAACAGGGGGAGGGGTGACTGAACTGTTTCAGCAGCTGGGAGTGGAACTGAACACGAGCATTGGCGAGCTGGGAGCATCTGGGTTTCCTGTTTCTGTCACATGAGAGATCTGCCGCTTGATTGATCCACTTGCCCCTGTAGCAAATCCCCCCTGCACAGAGGAAAGGAGTTCGTGGATAGAGGTCGGATAGGCGTGCAAACTCGAACATCATTTTTATTACTCTGGATAATAATTCTTCTCTGCCTTCCCTTCTCTGCCAGGTCTCTTTAACAGCTCCACTCCTGAGCCGACCACACCTGTGGAACCCACTAGCCCATCCACATGGATCTCAGTCAACTACACTGTGCAAATCCAAGAAACGTTTTCCATCGAAGTCACCGTGCCAAAGGGTTCTGTCTTCCTGAATGTGATGGAGGAAGCTCAGAAAATGAATTATACTGTGTTTCGGTATGTCTGGACCTAACCTAAGGTTAAGGGGTTTAGTGTGATTTTGACAGACTCAGTAAAAAATACGTCTGCACGTGAATGCAAAGTATATTTAAAACATATCTTAATCAGTACCTTTGCTGACAATCTACATCTCACAGCAGGGGTTAAAAAAGAGGTGAGACCTTTCATCTTCTAGGACATGGTAGGCATTAAATTAATGTTCACTTAGTGGATGAATAAGTCCCAGGGACCTCTCTCCTGTCTGCAAAACTCCTTCAATAAACAGAACTTCCTAAGGCAGACATTTTGTGTCCAGAACAGTGGTTCTTAACTATTTTTGAGTCACGGACCCCTTTAAGTAGGATGCTCATAGCAGAAAAATGAACATACACACAAAACATCATTGAAATTAGAGGATTCACAAACACCCGGGAGCCTCTCCATGCTCTGCCCCTTTCAGGTTTCATGGACTCCTAGATAAAAGGTTCCCTGGCCTAGAGAGGTCAAGTATTAAAATTAAGACATTGAGCCCGGCCGGCATGGCTCAGCGGTTGAGTGTCGACCAGGATCCAGGAGATCGCGGTTCGATTCCTGGTCAGGGCACATGCCCGGGTTGTGGGTTCGATCCCCAGTGGGGGGCGTGCAGGAGGCAGCCGATCAATGACTCTTTCATCATTGATGTTTCTCTCTCTCTCCCTCTCCCTTCCTCTCTCTGAGATCAATACACGTTTGTTTTAAAAATTAAGATATTGAGTTTGTCTCTGAAAACTGTGGTTTACTTGGTTTCTTAAACCTAACTGGCAATTGTTTATTGTGTTTAATAACATGATGTAAGTTGCTACAAAGAAAATCTTATATATGTATGAAAATATCTATATACGTACATATTTTATAATATATATATATAATGACAAAGGCTCCTTGCAAATGCTCCCAGGAAGGTAGAGAAATGCGACTAAAGAATGTAAAACATACACTGACCACGTCACTTCTATTTTTTAATCTTCACCCAAGGATATGTTTCTATTGATTTGGGGGAAAGAGAGAGAGAGAGACAGAGACAGAGAGACAGAGACAGAGAAAGACATCGATCAGTTGCCTCCTGTTCATGCCCCGACTGGCAGCTGACCCCGAGACTCTTCGGTGCTCAGGACGATGCTCCAGCCAAGTGAGCCACACCAGCCAGGGCAGCCGTGTCGCTCTTTAATAAACAAACATGAAATACTAAGTTATTCTTCCCTGTTTCTCTTTCTTAAGAGAAAATATACTCACTTAGGACTTACGGTGCCTCTAGCACATGGGGTTGAAACTCAGTGACTCTCCTGGGGTAGAAGCTGCTGTCTGCAGAGCGTCTGCTGCAGCAGGAGGGAGGGCGGGGACCCGGGGACCCACGGGCGTCATTTCCCTCATGGAGCATGGACTGTGGGCTGCCTGCAACAGGATGGCCCACAGTGCTTATGAAACATACTGACTCCTGGTCTCAGCCCAGACCTACAGAATCAAAGTATCTGGGGACAGGGACAGGAAATCTGCATTTTGGGGGTAACATCTTCAAGTGATTCTTAGGTACTTCACAGTTTAAGAAATGCCCGTGTGGAGTTGCCTTTGAAAATTCTAAGCTCCTCTAACCCGTTCACTGCCTCCACAGTTTCTCGTTCGTGGACAGCATGTGGGGCCCCTACATCACCTCTGTTGAGGGCTTGGAGGAAAACCGTGAAAACAGAACCTACTGGCAGCTTCTGAGTGGAGGCGAACCGCTGAAAGAAGGTGAGGGGAGCGGGCAAAGCCCCCAGGTGCAGCGCCCAGGGCGTGCGGGTGTGAGGGCGTGAGCTGTGGGAGGCGTGCAAGGAACTGGGAACGTGATATCCATTGTTTACTGATTCGGTGGTCCAATCATTTGACCCACTTCTGCTTCTGCTTCTTTCCAGGATGTGGCAATTATGTTGTCCACAACAGAGACTATTTGGAGGTTCGCTGGAGCAAATACTAACACACTCAAACCTTCCTCAGCCAGATCTAATTCTTTTGAAGTGGAATTCCACGTGGCAATTGGCCTCATGCCTTCCTTTTCTTTTATCTCAATGGAATTGGAGCTTTAATAACCCCCCTTTCTCTCTTTGCATGTTCAATAAATATCAACAAGTATACAAAAAGAGAATGTTCTGATCATTTTATTTTAAAGGGGGATTATTATTAGAGGGAAGACCACCTCAGGAAGAAGTGAAGTGAAAGAGACTGGGTCATGTCTATAAGCTGAGTTCTATTCAAGGTTCCCTGATAACTAGCTGGGTGACCTTAGGCAACTGGTCACCCAGAAATAGGAAAAGGGAAATGAGGTTCTAGGTCTACTGTTGCAGCCACAAGCAGTGAGATCAAGTAGACACCTTGCAGGGACACTGAGTTCTCGGAGGCCCAGGTGCGAGGCAGGAACCGAGTGGACAAATGGATGTCATACAGGCAGTGGGTTAGAGAGGAAAATGGGGGAAATGTGAAGCTTATACATAAAAAGTCAATCCATAAAGTTCGAGGAAAAATATCACCCCCTCCTCCAGCTGTGTCCTTTGGGTCCCACTTGTTCTTTTCCCACGTTTACTTGCCTTTCTACCCCATAAAAATCACCCTGATGTTCATATCATTTAAAGAAACCTGCAAAAAAAATGACCTCATGTTCATTTCAGCAGAATTCACTTCTTTTTTTTTTTTAAGTTGAATTATATTTAAGCATCATGAGCTCGGTTATACTTTATACTGAGGATGTGAGCTACACGCACACACAGTCAGGAACCAGACATGCCCTCAAGATGCCAAAGGACCAAAGGCGCTTCAGGGAAAGCAAAAAGTTACCCATCTAAAGCAACCCCAAAAGGAAAATGCCTTCAGGTGAAGCTAGTGAAACTGTTTTAGCAATGTCTCCCTCCTCTCTCCTGTGTCTTCTTCATAATGATCTTAGCTTCCTCCCTCCCACCAGCAGCCCTGCATCTTCATCGGGATCTGAGCCCTCTTCCTACACGCTGCTTTCCGGTGCCCATGATCTACTCTCAGGTTCACCCCTGCCCAGGCCTCCATTAAACGGGTGGGACAGATGCCCTCCTAACTCAGCAGCAATAGAGTCTGTCCTCTCGGCTCTGTGTCATATCTTGAAAGCTCAGTTAGAGCCAGGGAGAAAGCCGTGCACGCTGTCCCTTCCAGGTGTCCACGGTGCTGTCAGCATGGGGCAGCAGCTGTCCGATCTGTGTGTGGACTGTACAATCTATGGGAAATGGAAGGACAATGATTTAAGGTGACAGATACTCAAAATGTTAGAATTGGCATTACTGTCCATAATAAAAGGTGTGACCATTCGGTTTACCATCCAGCCACGACATCGTAAAGAGTGAAAGCGAACACTATTAATAATTACCTTTGAAAAAACAGATTAAGAACTGACACTATCCTGGAAAAACCAGTACATATGGTCTGTTTGGTCATGAAAAATAAAGAGGCTTAAGCCAAAAACATAGACACAAACACGTCCAAGTACTGACCCTGTAATTGACCAATGAAATTGGATCTCAGTATAATAAGGTCGGAAGACTGAATGTCCCTCTGAGGGCCCTAACGCTCCCTCTCAGCATTAAGTCTCACTATATGCCGCTGTGCTTCCTAATGCTATCAGCTTTCATTTTGAACTGAAAGAGCTAAGTTTCTCCCAGCCAGTGGTCTCTAAGTGGAAGGTAGTAACACTGTCATCCGGTAGAAATGCCTTCAGTCTCAGACATAGGAAGTGAATGGAATCCCACTGCCTTGCCAGTGCACCAACGTGGACCCGAGCAACCTAGCTCCGGCCACACGGGCATTCTCAAGCACCTCAGGCTTGGGGCTGTCACAAAACCATCACATTGTCTGAGGGGACACACTTCCATCTGCCGCCACAGCAAAAACTAATCAACACAAATAAGCCTTTAAAATGTCCAGAGAGAGAGAGTCTGGGTGCTTTGATACCAGGAAATTAGGCACAGGAAATAAACAAGCAAATAAATTTAAAAAAATCATAAATTAGCCCAGTTGATAGCTAACCAAGGACTGCCAAATATATCATGTCGTGAAGTAATGCATGGCCTGAGTGTTTCCTGTTCTGCAAGTTATTTGCTAACTGAAAAAACTGTGTCATAATCAATCTTGCAGCACCATGGCCATAAGAGATCATTTATAAGGAAGTGTATGTTTAAAGAGTGGGCACACCAGGCTGTGTGCCTCCTCTCGGGATGGTCATGCACAGGCTCTGGAAGCCAAGGTCAATGCCATGCTGGGTTCCTATTCCTGTATTAGATTCTTATTGCTGCTGTAACTGACTATCACAAATTTGTTGGCTGACAAGACACATTTATTATCAGAAGTCTGAAATTTATCTCGCTGGGCTGAAATCAAGGTTTTGAAAGAGCTGTGTTCTTCTAGAGTTTCTAGGGGAGAATCTATTTCCTTGCCTTTTCCAGCTTTGGGAAGATGCTCACGTTCCCTCCACCTTCAAAGTCAGCAACTGTATCCTTCCGACCTCTGCTTCCATCATCACATCGCCTTCTCTGACTCGAACTCTCCTGCCTCCCTCTTCCACTTATAAGAACTGCTGTGATTACATTGGGCCCACTCAGATAATTCAAGATAATCTTCCTATCTTAAAGTTAGTTTATTAGCAACCTTAATTCCCTTTACAGGTAACCCAACGCATTCACCAGTTCCAGGGATTAGGACATGGACATCTCAGGGGGCTGTTATTCTGCCTACTACTCCTTCACATGGCATGCAAGGCCCTCCACCACAGAGCTAAGTTGCCTTTCTGGTCTCGTCTCCCACCATAGGCCATGTATCAGTTGCATATTGCTGCATAACAAGTTACCCTAAAACTTCATGGCTTAAAACAACACTTATTATCTCACAGTTTCTGTGGGTCAGAAATCCAAGGGATGGCTTAACTGAGTCCTCTGGCTCAGGGTCTCTCACATGGCTGCAGTCAAGATGCCGCCTGGCACTGCCCTCATCTCAAAGCTCGACTAGGGAAGGCTCTGCTTTCAAGCTCATTCGCATGGTCATTGGCAGGATTCCTCCCTCCCTGGCTGTTGGTTGGAGGCTGCTTTTGAAACACGGCTTCTCCAAAAGGCAGCTCACAATTTGGTAGATAGCTTTAGTAGAGCAGAAGCCGAGAAGAGCCAGAGAGAGACTGCAAGCAAGAGGGAAGCTGGCCTTTCATAACCTCATCCCATCACTTTTGCTGTATTATATCCATTAAAAGGGAGGCCAGCCCACACTCTAGAGGAGTTATGCAAGGGCATGTACCAGCTGGTGGGAACACAGGGCCACGTCAGAGGCATTCCAGCGCACCCCAACATGAACCCTGCACTCTCACCTCACAAGACCACTAACATTCCCTGGGAAAGAAAAATATGGTTTATAACCCATGTCTTATATTTGTTCATTAATCCACTCACTCATTCAAAAGGTATTCAAGTGTACCTCCCTATTGTGAGCTAGGTAGTATCTCAAGTGCTGGGGACAGAACAGGGAACGAAATAGACACTCTAGTGGGGAGGAGAAACAATAAATGACCTGCACACATAGTATGACAGAGGGTGAGAAGTGCTACAGGTAAGGGGCACAGTGGGGGTCGGTGGGGAGCCTGTCTTATGTACAGTGGTCCGGGAAGACCTCTTTAAAAGCCGACCTTTGAGTAGAGACATGAAAGAAGTGAGGGAGCCACTGTGAGAATATTTGTAGTCTACTTGCTATACTCAAGCACACTTTGGCATGGAGTTCTTTGCCTACTTTTGCCCACACCTGTGTATACTCAACACTTAATACAGTGCATTGATCCCACATTTTCTAATTACTTACTTTAAAAGATAAGGTCTGAAAGCCCTGGGTATTTGAAACTACTTCCATCCCCAGATAAGGTAAGAGAAGTCAAACAGAACAATTCCTGGGAAACTGGTCCATTACCCACCTAAAGTCAACAACTTCGAAGAGCCTAGGCTGGAAACCAGGTCATGTCGACTGCGTTGATTACACAAAGCCAGACTTCGCCTGGTAGATGCTCACCTGACAGCCCCAAAGGGCAGATGGCAAAGCACGTACCTCAAGCCATACAGTGAGGTGATGTCTTAGGAACCATCCAAACCGCTATGAAGCAGTTGCTGATAGACAGAGGCTGCCTGACAGGGTGTAACATGGCCTGGGAGGAAGTTTCATTTATACTCACGCATTAGCCAAACCTCCCAGTGCAAAGACCCGGGATTTTGGTAAAGGGCACTTTGTTATCACTGCCTTCCCTGCACACACAGCCCAAGTTTCTCATATGACTGTGCTACCCAGAAGTCACCTTCAGACACCCTGGAGGGTCTATGTAGGTAAACTTAGATAAGAAAATGGAAATGAATTCTATCAGGGAAGGAGAGGTCAGCAGAGGTGGTTAGGAGTGGCTGGTATGGGGGTGGAGGGCAGACTTTCCATAAAAAGAAACATATATAAGAGAAAGTAGAGAGATTCTCTTCTTAATAATACCGGGATTTTGAACAGGAGACGTGGGCAGAAAGGGAAAGAGAGGGATGGCCTGGCTTACCCTGTACCTCCTGAACCTTCTCTGGGCTACGGCTGGGACCAGCACCCAGCCCCGAAGCTCGTGCCGTAAGTATGGTGTGGTTCCCGAGGATGTCAGGGAAGCAGCTACACCAGGGGATAGGCAGGGACCTCAGACACTGAGGTCTGCTGATGAGAAGAACGTAGTTAAAAAGCGATCACTATAGGAGCTCCAAAATGGGCGAGCCAGGGTGCACGTGTGTGCAGTTCATCTTTCCTGACTTAACAGTGCAAGTTCTTTGGGAGGCAGGTCCATGCATTTTATATAAAAAGAGATTGAAATGGTGTTTCAGGAATGGTGGTGCAAAGACACACTCAGTGACTGTGCTGACCAGGTACCACTCCTAGTGGGAGTTTGGGCTACTCACTGAGTCATATCCCAAATCTTTAACGAATTCCTCATGTAAGAATGAGAGAAAAAAATGGATGAAAGGAAAACAGTCATTTTGACGAAATGTACGAGAAAGAATATGAACTGTCGCTTGAAGTTGTTAAATGAGAAATCACTTTTCTTAAAGATAAAAATTATCTGAGTAGATGGTGGGACTGATGGGCCTCAGAAGGAAATCTCAATGTTTTCTCCATTTCTCTTTAGTAATCACCCCTGAGTAATCATCTCCAAGGACTGCAACGCTAACCCTGTCTCCCCCTAAAGGACCCAGGGAACATGTTTCTGGGAGGAGGGAATGACGGTGAGGGGTTTGTAAACGGCTTGTCTCTTCTCAGCTGTTCCCCCAGCACAGCAGCCCTTGGTTAACGGCATACAAGTACTTATGGAGAACTCAGTGACCAGCTCAGCCTTCCCCAACCCCAGCATCCTGATTGCCATGAACCTGGCTGGACCCCACAACCTGGAGGCCCAGAAGCTCCTGACTGACAAGATCGCAGCCATTGGCACAAACAGTGAGAAGCCAAAGCCTCTCCATCCACATGCTCCCTGAATCTGGCACACCATTCACCGCCCCAGATCCCAACTCCTGCCCCCACCCCGATGCGGCCTCTGATCATACCTAAATCTCCCAAACACCTTTCCCGACATTTCTGTAAAACACCTGGAAGGAAATATGCGCGAGGCCAGGGCATTCATAGAGGAGGCAGTCATGCTGAAGGAGCTCTAGATTCGATGCAGACACGGCGGGCTTCCAGCCCCGGCTCTGCCACTTACGAGCCCTGTGACCCTGAACAGGTCTCTTCATCCTGCTCAACCTCGTTTGCAAAATGCAAATGATTCTAATAACAGCAACACTAATGGTAACAACAAGGGTACAGTCGTCAAATCTCTGTTCTGCTCCCTCACAGGAGTTCCTCTGAAGCTCAATTTAGAAAATAAAGTTAAGATTATTTTGCAACTATGAATTTTCACATATGAATTGGTATGGGAGTTCTTGCTCTTTTTCTAAACAAATACCAGAGATTCTTGGTGGAGTTGTCAAGTCACACAGAGCCCACTGGATTAAGTGTTCCTTAAGGATTTTTCCTTACTTCTTTCCCTAGGAGTTAAGACAGATCAAAAAAGTAATCATGCTATTTTTAAAAATCAAAATGATCTAGAAAGAAGCAGAGAGTTCAGCTCTGGCCCCTGATGCTTTCTCTTGCCTGAAATTACCCTGAAATATTTTGTTCTCTGCTCTGCAGATCTGACCATTGGTCAGCTGGCACTCAACATCATGGCCCTCACCTCCTCCTGCCGAGACTCTGGGAATAAAGTATCGACTCTGCAGACACAAATGAAGAACTGGGAACCTGCAGGTAAGACCTCGTCAGAAGGGAGGGGAGAGTAAGGCAAATGGTCCTTCCTGAGAATTTTGCACCTAGGAAGAAAAGGGTGGGAGAGTGGAAAGTTAGGAAAGAGACAATGTGTCTCCACTCAGGTTCCCTCTGCTAATTCCACAGATGAGTTACTCTCTTCCTATCCAAAATGAACCAGAAGAGACCACTGGCCCAGGGCCACAGCCTTACCATGCCACCTCCTACCTGAAGATAGCACTATCGCTTTTATTCCATTCTCATGCCAGATGACACTCTTATAGGGTCCTTCTTTTTGGACAGGTTTTCTAGCAATGTCTATTTAAAAGATTTGGCATTTCTTTTCTCACAAATGTCCTCATTGTGGTGAATGCGAGTCTTATGAAGGCCCTCTGTGCCCTCCCAAGGCCCCAATGCCGAGGCATCAAGCTTCTATCAGCCCAGTCTGGCGATCTTGGCTCTGTGCCAGCAGAACCCTGAGAGGACCTTGCCAATAGCAGCCCGTTTTGCCAAGGCCCTGCTGGCCAATGCCTCTCCCTTCAATGTTGGTAAGTTGGGTCACCACTTTCAAACTGCCCTGAGCTGGGAACATTGAGGGCACTGAATGGTGGGACTAGAGGGGAAAGTGGGAGGGGGAGGAGCTGGGGATCATGAAAATGTCTGTAGAGGGGAGTATTTAACAAATATTTGTTGGACATGTGAATTAAGGAATAAATGAAAGGGAGATAGCAGAACATAGAGACCAGGGTAATACTTAAAATGTCTGGCAGTTACAGAATCTCCACTGGGAGCAATAAACATGCCACCCAAGCCAGGATGTTACCAAGCCGATTATTAAATCAACGTCTAGACTCAGCTCTACCCTGAACCCTCTCTTTTATCACTACTGATGCTTCCACACTCTCTTCTTCTCAATGCTTCTCCTTAGAACATTCAAATATGCTCTGTCTATGCAACAGCTACTCTCTGAACCCTAAGTCCACTGTGATCCCCTTCAAGGATATAGTAGAACCATCTCGTCTCTTCATTCTGCAAATATATGGCNACAGCTACTCTCTGAACCCTAAGCCCACTGTGATCCCCTTCAAGGATATAGTAGAACCATCTCGTCTCTTCATTCTGCAAATATATGGCTGCTTGTGGATGGAAGCTTTCCCTTTACAACACCACATCCTTCTTGGGCCCACCCTTCTGCATCTAAGGATCCCTTCTCTGTACGATGCCCTTCATTCACAGTCACATTTTCTCCTCTGTCACTCTAAGCAAAGGCATTATCTCAGGTTTTCACTCCCTTATGCATGCCTCATCAGCAATCTCTCTTGTTTCAGGGCCATTCAGGTCAACAAGCAGGTAGACATTTACTCTAGTCCCCTCACTGTGGGTCAAGAACAGACTGGCCTCCATTCCCCATCGGGAGCACCTGGACATTTTTTACAACACTGATTTCAACAATTCTGTCACCTTTAATGAAGTCATGCAACTTTGTAGAGATTAGGGTAGGGAAGGAAGATCAATGAAAGAAAAGGTGCCATCTAGCAAGTCTTTCATTTGTTCTGGCCTTGTCAGGCCAGAGCTTGCTCATCCAGTCCACACATGTTCTTCCATAGAGATAATAGAAAAGACCCTGTCCTGGGTACTATGGGGGGTGTTAAGCTCACACTATGCAGGAGTTCATGGAGCACAGTAACAATGAAACAGTAGAGAGTGCTGAGATTGCAAAACAGGTACAAACAATGAATGTTACAGAAGTTCAGAAAAGAGATGTTGTGCTGAGATGACCACAGAAGGCTTCAAGGAGAAATGGTGGTTGCTAGGCCTTCAAGAACCAGTGACATTTTTGAAAGACAAACNCTACAGAAGTTCAGAAAAGAGATGTGCTGAGATGACCACAGAAGGCTTCAAGGAGAAATGGTGGTTGCTAGGCCTTCAAGAACCAGTGACATTTTTGAAAGACAAACATTGGGATAAGAGAAGTGGGACTGAATAGACTGCCAGTCTACATTAATTAAAAGCATGAGCTGTGAAGTCATACAGATCTAGGTTCAGGTCCCTGCACTACTACTTTCTAGCTGTGTGGTCTTGGGCAATTACTTAACCTCTCTGGGACTATATTTTCTCACCCCTTAAATGGAGATAATTATAGGCCCTATTTGTATACCTGGAACACAGTAAGCAAACAATAATGGTTAGTTGTTCATATTGCTGTGGTGGTGGTTGGTCTTAACCCCCTATCATTTCAGACACCGGAGCAGTGGTGACCTTGGCTCTGACCTGTATGTACAACAAGATCCCTGTAGGATCAGAAGAAGGTTATAGAACCCTGTTTGGTAAGGTACTAAAAGATACTGTGGAGAATATCAGCATGAAGATCAAAGACAACGGCATCATCGGGGACATCTACAGTACTGGCCTTGCCATGCAGGTAAACACATCATTGATGCCCTTCATTGGGTCCATGCCAATAAGACCAGGTTGTAGGATCAAGAGACCAGGCTCCTTCTAATATCTCTGGGAAAGAACAGCTAGTGTGACCCGAGACAGATTCCTTGTGGTGCCTGTGCCTGTTTCTCAACTGATAAAATGCCAGTAAGTGTTAATTCCTCCCTACCTTATAGGTAAAGTGTGAAAACAAATCTACATGAATTCTTTCCTTTCCTTGGGGAAAAAAAAAGAAACAAATCCAAGAAATGTATTGGTTTATTATTATGATCAGTTTGTTCATAATAATTATAGACTAATGGAAGTTTGATGTATAAAAAAATAAGGATATTAAAATAGGTCCTCAAAAAAATATTGAATTTTCTAATTCCACCTTGCCAGTGTTCTTTTTTTCAGCCCTTTATCTTGATCCAAAAAAAAAAAAAAGGACTGGCTTGTATTCAAAATGGTTAATTAAAATAATCTAAAACTAACTGAAATCTAATCTTTGTCAAGCTCTATTTCAATATTGATCTCATTTTCACCACACGAAGAGCCCTAATAAATGGTGAAGCCAGGTGTGTCTGGTAACCAAATCCATACTATGCTTCCTTAGTATAGATGCCTGGACTTGGATTGTATAACATGCTGCTTGATTAGGGTCGATTAGTGCAGCAGATGCACACTAATGGAAAACACACCTATGATAGCAGGGATAAGCAACTAGAATCAGGAACTAAAGGGTTATGTATGGCCAAATCCTCTATTCCAAACTAAGAAGTTTGTGCTTCAAAGTCTCAAAATGCCCTATTGGGATGAATAGAAAGACTACATCATGACCTTCCCAACTCGGAAAGCCGGGGAAAGAGTCATGGAGTTGCAACGCCAGCCCTACCCTAACATAGCTCCGGCCTACTGTTAGAAAGAAATCCTTTAGGGAGAGGGGGGGATGGAGGCTGGTGTTGACAGACCACACATTGAAAGTTAGCAAGAAGCATAAACTGGCTAAAAATTAGATCATGTTAAACATGACTCACTTAAAATCAACTTGCTTCACTTTACACAAGGCAAGAGAAGTGTTTGCTTTGGCTAATTTGGTTCGTGAATTCCGTGTGAGATTTTATTACCTACAGGGTATGCGCTAATAAGCTATTCCTAGAATCAAAGCTTTTCCTATTAAAAGGCAGGACCATATCCGTATGCAGATAACAGGCCGGTGAATTTCTTATCAGTTTATGACGAAAAGCCTTCTCCTGCCTCACTTATGGCCCATTTTTGGAGTCTACCCAGGCAGCCTGAAGTCTAAAACCACCAAAAGTCTAATTTATAACCGTTTTCTAATCTAAAATGCTCCAGTGTAGAAAACTGAAGGGCACAGGAGCTGTAACAACTTGGGTTTGAATCCCATCTGCCACCATCTTGGGCAAATATTGAATTTACCTGAATTTCACCTTTCCTCATAATAACAAGGTTGCAAATGCATAAAACGATCACAGGCACAATGTGGTGTTCAATAATGGTTGGTGGCCTCTCCCAGCAGAAAAATGGTGACACTGAGCTTCCTTTTCAGCCTCCACTCACCCTCTTCCAGGATGTCAGGGCCCTTCGGTGACCTGAGCCACCCGCATTGCTTCCCAAGGGCACTCATGAGGCATCTCCTCAGTTCTTGAATTTCTCCTCTTTGTTCCATCAATAATCTAATGCTTTCAAGACTCCTCTAATTGAAAGTTAACTTGAAAAGGGATCTGATAAACTTCCTCGTGGGAAGTTATTAATGACTTCTCACAGCTGACTGTGTTACTCCTCTCCAGAGTGTTGGTGTTGGTAGTGTGTTGTCTCAAGGGGCTACAGCTCACATAGTGGATCTGGGAGTTTACTATGGCAAGGAGACGATAAGGTTGCTGACAAGTACCCACCAGATGTCCCTAATCCAAAGTGCCCTAGAAAGTGGCCTCTGGCAAGAGCCATGGTTCATGGCTGCTGAGGTTAACAGTGATGATTTTACTTTCCAAACTGTCCGGTTGCTCATACTAATGCTTCTGGCTCACAAAGCCTTTTCTGACTCTCCTCTCCCTTCTCTCATTTCCCATCTCGAGCTTCAGGTAAATCGATCATCAGCTATCTCAGGGCATTGCCAGGCTCTGGTGGCTGTGGTCAGCACAATCCTAAAGGGAGGGAGGTGGTAATGGTAATAATAGCTCACGTGTCACACTTTACAGAAAGATTGTGCATAACATCCCATATGACCCCTCCACAAAGCTAAACAGGAGTTACAATTTCTATTTACCCGTGAGATGTAGAAGTCAGCCAAGTAGAGCGAATTGCTTGGTGTGTTAATCAAGACTCATTTTGCAAATAACCAAAATCCAAATAATTTTGGTTTAAGAAAAATGTAGACTTACTATTTCACACAAACTGTGGTGTCCAGGGCTGGATTAGGTGATTTCAGGTCTACTATGTTTAGAGGGCCATGTTGTCCTAGACTGAAGCCCTTTCCCATCCCACCCCGGAGCTGCTTTGCCCAGCTCTCACCCTCATCCTCTGTCCCAAGAACTGTTAGTAAATATAGCAGCCCTAATAGTGTTCCCTGAACTAAATGTGTAACTAGCATGTGACAGACACTGAGCTAAGTGGGGATGCAGCAGTGAACAAGACAGCTTCATTTGGACTCCGGGTGATCAGAGAGATTAATGACCAAGTGTATGCCTTGTAAGGAATATAAAGACCAACTTCAGCTATGCCTCTCTCCCTCCCTCTCTCCCAGGCTCTCTCCGTGTCACCTAAGCAACCTACCAAGGAGTGGAACTGCAAGAAGACTATGGATGAAGTGCTTAATGAGATTAAGCAGGGGAAATTCCACAACCCCATGTCCATTGCCCAAATCCTCCCATCCCTGAAAGGCAAGACCTACCTAGATGTGCCCCACGTGTCTTGCAGCTCTGGTAAGAACACTTAACATCTGTCTCTCCTCATGTCGTAAACTGGCAACTGATGTCAAGAATGCTAAGTGGATCCATTTTAAGTGGCATACCAGTTTTTTTATGTTCCATTGCTTCCATGTGGGCAGAACCACATCTGACTTCTAGTCCTCAAGAGTTGTGTGATAATACACAGCCATATACCATCCTGCACTCAGAATCCAGCCCTCATGTCCACTTCATTCAACACACACTCAGTGAGTGCCTACTATGAGTAAAGCATTTTGTGAGATGCTGATAGAGAGGCAAGATCCATGGTCCTAACAATCAAATAACGTATCACTTCATTAGATAAATGTACCTAATATGCAGTATCTTATCACATCTTCTCTTTACAAAGCCAAATAGGTAGACAAATAGGTAGGCAAAAATGACAATATCTGGAGAAATGAAGTAACTATTAAATAGAAATAGAAGGCATATACAAAAGCAAAGAAAGTGTAACCAACCATCAACTTTGTCTGAGAGACTTAGTAAAAGAACAGAGTCAACATTTCAGCCAAGTCTTGGAAATCTAAATATGAATCCTTGGTGCTCACAGCACACCAAACGGATGGGGTAGAACCCTGGCACACAGCCTTTTTATTTGAAATATCTTTATTTTGCCCAATTACAAATATAATACAGAGAGACAATGCGGAAATATGCATTTAGAAAGTGGGAGTCCTGCATAAAAATTCTACCACTCCAGACACAACCAGTCTTTGGTACAGATTCCTCCAACTCTTCTTTCCACTCAAATACGAATATAAAGTACTATTCATCTTATGTTGCATGGACTTCCTAAGATAAGCAGAGATTAATAAGCTCCTTGTCTATCTCAGAGCAGAATCCACAGGGACCCCAATCAAGTAACCGAATCCCAGTCATACCAGACACAGCCACATTCCCCTAACCTTAGGCTGCTTCCCAGTGATTTGCCAGCTTTAGCCAGGTGACCATGGAGTCCCGCCCAGGATTCCACAGTAATTGCCCAGGTACTCTGTTCAATAGTCTGAAGTGTACAACCTTTGCTTCCGCATCCTTAGGGTTAACAAAAAAAATCCACAACAACTGAACAGTGACTACCATGTAAAATATATAACTTAGGGCTCTCAATCTTCCCTTTAGGTTACAAATTATTTTAACAAAATAATTGTTCATTGTAAAACTAGCTGTCATTTCTTCAGCTACGATCAGTTCCCTAGAATGGAAATGGGAACTTCACAGATCACACCAGTTTCTCAGAACAACCCACAAGGCATTGCCATTTCTTGAAATGTTTTCTGGGTTGGGTTGCTGACAACAGATTTTGCACCTTTGATACAAACCCCATAATCTTTAACAAATGTGGCCTCTTCGCCCTTCACAGATCCTGAGGTGCAAGCCACTCTACCCAGCTATCCTAGTCCTGTCCCCACCGCAGCATCCAACATCACGGTCATATACACCATCAATAACCAGCTGAGGGGGGTGGAGCTGCTCTTCAATTTCACCATTGACGTTAGTGTGAAAAGTGGATCCGTGCTTCTTGTGGTCCTAGAAGAAGCACAACGCAAAAATTCCACGTTCAAGTGAGCACTACAAGTGGCATTCACCATTCTTCCCGAGTCTAACCTGAATTCCCAGTTTCGCTCTCTCTTTCCTTCATTTACTTACTTTTTTCCCTTCTTATAATGTTACAGATTTTTATTGAATAGCCCCTTGAGAGCCTGCAATCTCTGGTGAAAAGTTAAATCCTACAAGTCCATATGTATAGCAAGGAAGAGTCACAGGGTTCTGTCAGTACTGGATGTGAAGGTCAAGAGAGAGGAGCTTCAACACTGTTGACAAGAGTGTCAGGAAAAGAGAAATACTTTTAGAGAAAAAGACATAATCCCTCTAGACATTTTTAATTGTGGGTGTTTGAGAGAAAAACATTAGGACACTTTTGGAGGTACAGAGGAAGTTCTAGGAAGAGAGGTCAGGACAGGCAAAAGAGATTGGATAGTCATCTAATAGAGGTGATGACCGAAGTTAAAGAACTGCAGATACAATGCTCTCAACAAAACTGGAGACAGATCTAATTATTCCCATTTTATAGACTGAACCACTTAGGCCCAAAGATGTTAAGTAATATTCCTAAGGTCACATAACGTGTAACTAATAGAGTTGAGATCTGAACCCAGAGTTGAGTGACTCTGAAGCTCATGTTCTTTCTACTGCTCTGCCGGGAAAGAGCAGAATACAGAAATAAATCACAGAGAAGAAAATTAAACTTTGGGGGATGTTTATAGTTTGCAAAATGAGGAAGCGGTAGAGAAATTGGAGAAAACGAAGCTATAGGAGGAGTAGAGGGGAAATGTCAGGTCATGGAAAGGAAAAGAGGAGATAGTTTCAAAGGATAGATGACATGGCCCAAATTCTGCAGAGATATGTCAAGGAGAAAAAATTGACAAAGGCCAAAAACCTGACAACTGAATGATATGTGGGATCTGTCCCACAGGGTTAGGTTAAGTCATGTGTCTGCTGCCCACAGCCCAGCTCCAAAACTTCCAGGATAAAAATCCCATTTCGAGAATACTTAATTTTCAAACAACTCTCTGAATATACTTTACTTATCTGAGCTTAGCTTTAATTTTGCCTGATTCTTCTCTTTCTGACAGTGAATATAATAAAAAATACACATAGTAGAAAATTTTGAGGAAGAAAAAGCATAAAGGAAACAAAGCTTTTATAGTCCGTCCACAATATAATCACTGTTGCTGCTTGTTACGTAATTTTGTAGGTGTTTTTTCTATGCATATTACAAAAAGTTGTGATCCACTATCTAGATGGAATAGATATTTCATATAAAAATTGTATCCCACATTTTACTTAACATTATTGCACAAGCCTTTCCCCATGCCACTGAAAATTGTTGAAAAATATAGTTTTCATAACTGTGAAATATCCAGTGTTGGATATTAATTCCATCACTCACCTAATTATCTGCCTACTGTTGGACATTTACATTTTTAAATTTGCTTATTGATGGTTTTCTTTTAAATCTATTCATTTTAATTTCATTTAATTCCAAGTGATTTCATATTTATGTCATTTACATTTTCTCTCTTAAGCATGATTTTATCTCATCTTTAAAGCATTTAAATGTCTCTGTCCCTACATCTTAACCTCTTATTTCCTGACCTAAAGTGAGGTGTTAATCATATATATGATTTTGTTCTTACAGATTTGAAACCACAATGACATCCTGGGGCCCTATTGTCTCTTCTATCAATGGTATCACAGAAAATGTGAATCACAAGACGTACTGGCAGTTCCTTAGTGGCACGACGCCTTTGATTGAAGGTCGGAGAATAAAAGGAATGCAGGCATTTCCTCCAAAGTTTGATGGCTACATTCTTTAACTTCCTCATTTAATTAGTTCATTCATTTAATCAGTAAATACTTGTAAGATCACATGTGCATAAATAATAATTGTACATACAGTGGTTATATATATGAACATACATAAATATATTATGAATATATATAGTGATTAGATAGCTTGATAAATAGATATATATGATAGAGTGATAGTTGATAGATGACTGATAAGTGATAGATGATGATTGATAGATAGATAGATAGATAGATAGATAGATAGATAGATAGATAGATAGATAGATAGATAGATGGATGATAGATAGAAGTGGTGGCTATTTAAAATAGCTTTTTAAAAAAATCAAGAATCCTAACTCTACTCTGGGAAAATCCAGTGAACAAGAAAAGTAGATTAATCTACTTAAAACACTAAGGGCTGAAGAAGGAAAGAGCAAATAATGTGAGAGAGACCAAAAAAAAAAATGGAAAACATAGCATGTGATCTAAGAGGATGGCCACCTTGGGGCTAAAAAATTAAACATGTATGTACAAAACAAAAGCACAGTGAATTCATAGCCAGTGGTAAACAAATATGAGGGACAGAATAACAGCCACTTGTGCAGAGACGCTGTGTTTTCTCGTTTCATACATCTGCTCTGCAGGTATTAGTGACTCTTTACAGAGAGAGGAACTAAGTCTTAGAGACATGAAAGGGACTTGTACAAGGCCCATCTGGCGTGCCCCAGGGCAGACAGGCGAGTGCAGAACCNTGGTGGCTATTTAAAACAGCTTTTTTTAAAAATCAAGAATCCTAACTCTACTCTGGGAAAATCCAGAGAACAAGAAAAGTAGATTAATCTACTTAAAACACTAAGGGCTGCAGAAGGAAAGAGCAAATAATGTGAGAGAGACCCCCAAAAAATGGAAAACGTAGCATGTGATCTAAGAGGATGGTCACCTTGGGGCTAAAAAATTAAACATGTATGTATAAAACAAAAGCACGGTGAATCCATAGCCAGTGGTAAACAAATATGAGGGACAGAATAACAGCCACTTGTGCAGAGACGCTGTGTTTTCTCGTTTCATACATCCGCTCTGCAGGTATTAGTGACTCTTTACAGAGAGAGGAACTAAGTCTTAGAGACATGAAAGGGACTTGTACAAGGCCCATCTAGCGTGCCCCAGGGCAGACAGGCGAGTGCGGAACCAGTATGCTTTATGCCACAGCTTCACTCAAAAGTCATTCTTTGCTTTCTTTTGCTGTACTGTTTTGTTATTAAATCTCCAAAGAGAGGAATGTGAATTCACACATTTTGTGTGAGGAAAGAGGGATGAATAAGCCCCAGAGTTCAGCAAAACTTTAACATTCTTTAAATTTTTTGCACAAAAACTAAAATATCCTCCAACTTAAAGGGCAATGGTGTATGGTTTTGTCTAAAGATAATGTTACCTGGTTAATCTGATATTGTCACCTTGCAGAGAGATGTGAAGCCAAATAAAGTCACAGCAGAGCCAGGACTGGGCTCTGTTAAGGTGCTTCGATATCCAAGATGACAATGGGAGAGATGTTTTTCTGAGAGTCTATCATGTAGTTAATAAAGTCTGGCCAATCAGAATCTGTGGAATTGCAACAAAGCATATAACAAGGGTCTTAGAGTCACATGAGCCGTGATTAGAAGCTCTTTCTCTTGTTTACCGGCTGCCTTACGAAAGTGATGAATCTTCTCTGAGCCAGTTTCCACAGCCACAAAAAGGAAATAGTAACCACCATTGCTTGGGTTATTGTGACAATTAGCAATAATGGGTTTAAAATGAGTAAGTGCAATGTCTTTTGCGTAACANAGTAACAACCATTTCTTGGGTTATTGTGACAATTAGCAATAATGGGTTTAAAATGAGTAAGTGCAATGTCTTTTGCGTAACATGCGTTCAAAAATGCTAATCATTATTATTATTAGTTCCCCTGCCACCTTCATCTCAAGAATTGCCTCTGGAACTTAAAGTAGGTTAATTCTCACGTGTGCCGATTATGACTCTTCTCTGAAGGAAAGAATGGTAAACAGAAAGGCCTCAGAGATCCAAAAAGACTTGGGCCTGGGGTTGTTATTCTCTCTGATGCCAGGCTACTTGAAAGCCAATCATCAATATTGTCACCATCTAGCTTTCTTGCCCTGAAAGACAAGAATTCTCAAAAAAAATCAAAAGTGATCTTAAGTTCCTGCCCTGAATGCTCTAAATCTGGCTTAAATAAGTCATTTTAATAATAACCACCATTTATTGAACACCTATTAAGTTCACATCAGGTACTGTATTAGGCATCTAGTAGTCATTATTTCTAATCCAGGGTAAATATTCTTTGTGCAATTTTATATACGAGGCTCTTACAATTTAAAGGGCTTGCCCAAAGACATGCTCCTTATGGCCACCTAGAGCCTGGAAACAAGGACTTCCTAAATTTCAACTCAGTGCTCCTTCCATACTCACCAAGCTGCCCATTTTGCTCTACAGTGACTTTACTTCTCTAACGATGGGCTGATCCTTTGGGAGGTGGGGGTGGTTATATGCACCATGGTGACCTCCTGTTACTCTCTGCTTGTTTCCAGGTGTTGCTGACTACATACCTTTCGACCATGAGCATATCACAGCCAATTTCACCCAGTACTAAGGAAGAAGTGGGTTGAGATTCTATTGAACATCTCCAAAGGATGGCTGGAATTTTTTCACGTCATTTCAAATCTATGCAAAACAGTGGGTATCTATGGTGGTACCATATTCCTGGCTTTTAAAAAACACACAAAAAACATGGAAACCCTATGTAGAATAAATGATGCAAACCTCTCTAGAGTCGAAATATCTATGACCCATGAAAACAAAGTCTGGCTTCTCAAGGCAATGACCACCAGTCATCATTTAAACCTAGGGTGACAGGAGATGGGAGAGCCCAGTTGGTATTTTTTCAGATCATTCTGAGCTTCTTGATTAATTAACCAACACACTCCTTTATTTCTATAAATGAAGTGATATATTTTTAAAACTCCTATTTTTGTTTTGTATACCAAGTACTCCTTTTCTAATCACTATTGTAAACATATATACTTTTATACATACATGAAATGGTCAAAATTATTTCATATGAGAAGCCCCCAGATGGTTCAGAATGAGGAAGACAACATTAACATCATAACTCTCCCCTTCCAATTCCAATATTTGTTCTGGGTAAAATCAAGGTTTAAATGTATATTTTTAGACAACTTATATATAAATATACATTTACTATAAATATAATTTGTATTTAATATTTAATATAAAATTTTATATATTTTATATATTAAATGTAGATATGCATCTGTAATCCCACCTCATATATAACATATAATTTTTATATATTAAATATATATATATCTATAAACCCACGATATATCGCAATATATGTATATATGAAAGCTTTCATAGACAGTCATAACCCTAATCTCTGCTGGTGGCACAAACTTTTTCGAGAAGGATATGAAATTTGTATTAAAACACCTAAAATATACTTGACCCAAAAAAAAAATCCCAGTTCTGGAAGTTCTATGAAGGGGAGAATCATTATGTGGGCACAGATATACAAGAGTCATTTTGACCAAACCTTCGATATGCAGCCTCAATACACCTCCTAATACTGAACCCCAGAGCGGGCAGACTTAACGGACCTATCACAGGTTTCTCCCCGCCCCCCACCCCCTACTGTATCTCAGCAAGAATCTGCTCTCTGGTAGCAGTCTGGCTCCCCCGAGAAAGAGGTGTGAACTCCACAGGCCCAGGTCCCCATCCCAAACATGCCTACCTATTAGGTAAGTCACTATACCCCAGAAAAAGGCCAGAACCGTTACTGTAATGAAGGAGCCCTTGGGGAGTGGTGAATGGTGCTCTCTGATAACATACCATAATGTTTGTAACATGGAAAAATAGAAACAATCTGTATGTCCAACAGGAGAGCAATGGATAGGTAAACCCTAGTGGAGTCACGTGACAAGGTACTTAAAAGTCACTAAAATTCACGTTGAAGATAAACACTTGCTGACACGAAAAGATGAGACAGTATTATATAACATCATGCATGCCAGAGAAGTATAGTGGTTGTCTCTGTGTGATAGAATTATCGGTGACTGATCTAAGTTTTCTCCATTCAATATGTAATCGTTGAGCAAGTGGAAAATGGAGGGAAAAAATATTTTAAACAAAGAGATTTTTCTCATTTAACCATAAATTAGGCAACGACAGGAAGATGTTTGTTTGTGTGTGCATGGGCAAGAGCCCTGCCCCCAACTTTTGCTCTAATGATAGAAATTCAAGGAACAAGAGTGGCCTGGGAGACAGTGAAAGGGGGAATCACAGGTTGGCTTCATACATGAAAACCTCATTCTAGCCACGCGCCTAGTGATTCACTGTGTGTGCTCATCTGTATCTGCAAGGATGGGGGACAGGGGAGTGTACTGACCTGGGCTCTGCTGTGACAAGTTGTAATTCCGCTTTGAGAAGTGCCTTCATAAAACGTAGTCTGCGGTCATTACTGCATAAGGCGTAACAATGTCCAAGGACAGCATTCAGGTGTTTCGGTGACTGTAACAGGCGCTTTTGTGACCTCTACTGGCCGTGGCTGGTAGAGCCTAAACTTTCTTTTCTTTCTTTTTTTGACAGTTGTTCTTATCTTTGTTTGGTTTGTTTTTACATTTTCGTCAGGACTGAGGGTGCCATAGCAAAACAGAAAATGAGGCCGATTAGGAGGTTTGGGCAGAAACCCAGGCAAGAAGCAAGGAGCCTCCGCCAGTCGGTGTTGGTGGGGACCGGGCCGGGGTCGGGGAGCTGATTAGCTGTCCGGCTGAAAGATGCTGGAGCAGTAAGATGGAAGGTCACAGGAGAGGTCACCAAGGTCACCCTTTCACAGGCTGTCTAGAGCACAGGGCTGTCCTGAGGGCCACTCCACCGCGTCCCTCGTGCTGACCAGGACACGTGGCGCCCTTAACCTCCTCAGGGAATGGAGACTCTGAGGCATTATGACAGCCAGTATTTTAGGGTCCATTGCTGCCCACAGGAAACCTCAGTATTAAGCTCTGACTGGTTCCTGCTCTCGGGGGTCAGAAGTGGCCGTGGGTGCTCCGTGAGTTTCAGGTGTGCTCACCTCCCGCTGGGCCCAGGCCTGCAAGTCCCAGCCTGAGCTCGGCACCCCCGCTGAGCGACTCCCTAAACTTCCTTTCCTGGAATGGTCAGTAATGCAGATTTATGAGGATGCAGGAGAGAGAGGAGGGGAGATTGCTACCAAATACTTTTGCTCATTCAAAAACTGTATGCAGGGCCCCAGCCAGGTAGCTCAGTTGGTTAGAGTGTCTCTGTCCAGGCCCAGGTTGCGGGCTCAATCCCTGGTCAAGGCCCATAAAAGCAGCAATCGATGAACATAAGAATAAGTGGAGCAACAAATCAGTGTTTTTCTCTCTCCCTTTCTCCCTCTCTCTCTCCCTTCTTCTCTCTAAAATCAATAAATAAAACTTTATTTTGTTCATTAATCCTCACCTAAGGATATTTTTTCCATTGATTTTTTTTTAGAGATTGTGGAAGGGAAGGGGAGAGACAAAGAGAAACATTGATGTGTCTTGGTTGCCTCCCACATGCTTCTGGACCAGGGCAGGGGATCGAGCCTTCAAACTGCAGCCCTTGACCAGGAATCAAACCCAAGACCCTTCAGTCCTCGGGCTGATGCTCTAACCACTGAGCAACCAGGCTAGAAAAGTAAATAAAACTTTTTTAAAAAATTGTATGCAACTGTACTTGCCTTTAACTACATAGATGAGTGACCTATAGCAGGTACGTGACTGAAGACAACACTGATAAGAAAGTGGAACTAAATCCATGATGCCTCTAGGCCCGTCCAACTGAGCCCTTATAATTCCTTGAAATAGCAAAGAACAATTTTGCTCTGAATTGCAAATGGCTTTGTGAGGAAGGAGGAGAGTAATTCTGGCCAAGAAAATAAAAATTAACAAAATAAAAATAAATTTTAACTTGAAAACCAAACATGCAAAACACAGCTGCAGTGATTTTTGTAAAGTGAACTTGACCACATATATATGAAAATATATAATAAATACAGAGACAAAAATTAAAACACTGTAGCAGGGAGAAGAAACAAGATGGCAGTGGAGGGAGCAGCTGCACCCGCCGCCTCCTGCAGCCACATCAAAATCACAACTAAAACCCAGAACCACCGTCACTCAGAGCCTCCTGAGATCCGGCTGCACAGAAGCCCCACA